TACGGGCATGCATGCATGCATGCATGCATGCATACATCCATGCATGCACACATCCATGCACACATCCATGCATACATGCATGCATACATACATACACAAACACAGTTACTCATGCACGTATGCCACAAAATGTTTCAGAATCAGTCTTCTGCGGCTGATCCAGGCCATTTGCGAGTAGCTACTTAGCGCGTAGTGGAACGCACTTGTCTATCCGCCATCTCCCTTTCCGCCCCCTCCCACGCGACCCCCCCGCCCCCGGCGGCTCAGGCACCCGCAGATGCCCGAGGACACGCAGTGGCATTTTATCGGCCACCTGCAGAGCAACAAGGTCGCCCAGCTGGTCAAGGAAGCGCTCTTTCGCGCGGCGCGGTTGCTGGATGGGCGGGCGCCGGAGAGGAAGGGAGCGACTCGACTCGAGCAAGTCGATCGCAGCGTCCCCGGTTCAGCCGCGATTGTGGGAGGCCCAGACCTCCCTCTAGAAGCACGAGCGACTCAATGCCAGTACTTCGTACTTCGATGGGGAGGGGGCGAGGGAGGGTGGCGTAGCAGCAGCAACAGCATGCGGAGGAGGAGGGGGAGGAGAAGGAGGAATTGGAGGAGGAGGAGGAGGAGGAGGAGGAGGAGGAGGGAAGGCGGAGGGGGAGTTGGAGGAGGAGGAGGAGGAGGAGGGGGAGTGGCAGCAGGCGCTGCGGCAGATCACTGGTGCCAGGGGGGAACCTCACGGGGGCGGCCACGCCGCCTGTGCCGTGGGGTTATCCAGGCCGGGTGTTGCTAAAAGCGCCCCTGGCCTAAGGTGCCCCCAGGATTTCCAGAGAGGCCCCCACGGCCTCCTGAAAACCCTCCACGAGGCCCAGAGGTCCCCAGTGGCTCCAGCATTGAACGAAAAGATGGGGACAACTCGGGCCAGGGGCACCTTTAGCAACCCACGAACAGGGCCTTCAAAGACGCATCGAAAGCGAGCTGAGCCCGCCAGCCGGCCAGTGCCCAGATGTACGATACGTTTTGGAGTTCCTGCCCATTTTGAGCAGGACTCGCCGTCGGTGTCGGTGCGGACGCTGTGCACTTAAGACAACAGAACGTGACCTGCCCTACAGCGGCCGCTGTCAGATTTGGTCTATGTTATTTGCTGGGCATTGCGCCCATTTCCGCAATAGTTTTGGGCGTGCCAGATTGACAAGAGGACGACGAGGAGAAGGACACGGACGAGAAGGAGGAGGTGGACGGAAAAAAAGCCAAGGGGGAGACGGGAGAGGAGGAAGGGGAGGGGGGGAGGACTAGGTGGCGGAGGGAGGACATGATTATGATGGGGATGGAGATGTGGGACGGGAAGACGAGGAGCAGGAAGTGGAGCAGCATGGGGGCGGAGGGGGTGGTGAGAATTGGGGGGGGGGGGAAGGAGATGAGGAAGAGGAGGAGACGGAGGAAGTTCTGAGGAGGAGGGCGGAGAGGAGGAGGGAGGCCAGGGAGGAGCAGCGAGGAACAGGGAGCGGGAGAAGTGGGAGGACGGGCTGCGATCGACTTCGGAGGGCAGCAGGACGCCGCTGAGAAGCGCTGCCGGTCAAACCTGGCACGCCTTTCTTCGACGGGAGACTGGAGCCACTCCCTGCGCGGGCCCAGGCGGTCACCCTCAGACCCCGCACGCGCGACCCAGGAGGGTTGGATTCAGCCACGGTCGACGCACTGGAAGCAGGAACAGTTCGGGATCGGAGGGGTTTCGCTGATCCGTCGGTCCATCCATTGTTCTTCCTCCGGCGTTCCTCGTGCACCCAGGCGTTTTTTCTGGAAGGGGCACAGGCCCAGGGTTTCTTGTAGATGTTTCCCCCCCGGGGGCGACTCGAAGAGGACCGGCGCATTTCCGCTCGCTGAACAATTGCGAAGAGTTATCCTCGACAAACAACGGGGTCCGCCGACACACGCTTCCCCTCGTAAAAGACAGAGTGCGGAGCGTGTTGCGCAGAACCCGTGATAGAACACAAGGCCTGACGCTTGAAGGCCGTGAACCTTCGCGGTGAAAGGATCTGCGTTGGCCGGTGCGGCGCGCTTAGACAGCCCTGCATGCTTCGTCGAACCAGCGGCGTTCACCTGGCCGCCTGGTGTGGTCAGAGTGAGTTTTATCTCGTGGCGTGTCGCGCGTGCACCTTGGGCATGAGCATGGTGACTCAATGCCTGGTGGAATGCGGTCATTCCTTGGACTTTGATGCGACGTGCTGCTGCGATTGCCGCGGTAGCTAGGACATTCTGGGTACCGCTTGTCATTTGGTATGTCGGCTGCCTGTTTGGCACTTGGTGTGACGGCGGGAGCCTGCTTGCCGGATGCTCGCTTCTGGGCAACGGGCGCTCTCGGTCGGGTTCGAGATTTTCTTGCCGGTGCTGGTGTGGCTGCTGGTGTTGGCGCTGGTGTGGTGGTACCTCGGCTCCTTCCAGGCGTTCAAGTTCCTGGAGGGCCTTTGGACTGATTCGTGCTCCTGTGGTTGGGCAGAGCTCGGCAATCAGAGTGACCGCGCGCTCAGCCAAGCGCCAGGGCCAGACCTGCAGTGTCTGTGTGTGTTGGCTGTGACCCCAGTTCTCGTCGTGGTCGTGGTTTCCGCTGCATCTCAGATTCTTCAAAAAGGGCGAGCAAATGTGGCGAGCTGGCAATGGCTAGGGATAGCCATGAGACGGCGTCTTGGCTGGGAGGCCTCTCGACATCGATCGGACGCGAACGCATCCACATGGGGATGCGAGGGTAACCTGTTTCCAAGGTGGTACTGTGTTCAACCACGTAGGACTCGGTTGTTCAACCACGAAGTATCGTTACTCACGTACTGTGCCATCGCAGCGCGTTCGCATAATAGCATGTGGGGCGCGTGTTCCTCGTAGTGTCCGCTAAGTCGCGTTGTTGATGCGGTAGTTGAGACCATTGGGCGGGCTGGCAAGACGGTGCCATAACAACTACCAGGACGCTGATTGACCTGAGGCATTGAAGGGTCTACTTGTGGACCGTGGGGTCGCCAAGATCACAACCGATAGCCAGGTCGAAATGCTGGCCAGTGTCAAGTTGTCGCCTGATGGCGATCTCCGAGGCGCGGGCTTCACCGCCGCACACCTCGTGCAGGTCCGTGACGGGCCCCATGGCGCGGACCGTGGCCATGGCATGTTCCGGGCACGTTGCCTGGAAGGTGGACACTGGAAACGCGGCGCGGTGACCAACAATGGCCCTTGCTGCGCACGTTCCCGCCAGGTGCTCACCAACTGGGAGCTCGCTGGCGCGTGCGATGGCAGTGCCCTTGAAAAGCCGAAGCGAGCTGCTCCTGCGTGCCAAGCCATGAGAGGTCGTCACCGATGTCGAAGAGGCCCTCCACTTTCTTCTGACGTTCGACTGGCGAAAGGTATGGTTCTTTGCGCCCCTTCGCCCACTCTGTCCAGTCGGCGGGAAAAGCGAAAATCGGAAATGTCCCGATGATTTGGAACGTGGTCTTGCTTGTCCATTCGTAAGGCAGGACCTCGGGCGCGGTGGGTCTCTGTCTCCAGTTTGACGCGACGGTGGCGAGACTGCCTGGCCCATGCGACGTAGGTTGCCTACTAACTTTCAAAGCGTCGAGGGCAACCAGGCGCGGTCTTGGCCAGCGCAGACAGGGGCGCACGGAACAGCGAGTGAACGAGACGCAGCGCTCTCGATGGCGAGGGGCAGTCAGGCGAGGGCAGGCCGACCGCGTGGGCCCCCCGCCCCCCCCCCCGCCGCCTTCCCGTGGAGCTAGCGACGGCCCAGTGGAGCGGGTGGCCGCGGCGGAGCGCTCGCGCCGGAAAGGCCCCGCACCCTGGGCCCCCCGTCCGCCGCAGCGAGTCGCGGTGTCGGTGGCGAACGTGACGAGATGGAGCGCGAGCTGGCGCGGCCTGCTCGCCGCGGGCGCGGGCGCGCGGCGCCTGCAGGAGGCTCGCACCCCAGCCGCGGACGCATCGCTGGCGGCGGCTGCAGCCCAGGCTCGCGGCATTAAGCTGCACCCGGAGCCCGCCCGCGACGGGGCGCACCTGCTGGAGGCGGCCCAGGGCGCGGCGCGGCGGCGCGCGCCGAGCCGCGCCGCCGCCAGGGCTCTCGGGCAAGCGCCCCGGCCGCTAGCAGCATTGCGTTGCGCGTCGGGGCGCCCTGGGCCGTGCACGCGCGTTCCGCGACTTGCAGCGACTACGCAGGAGGGCCCCCTTACGCGGAGCGGAACGCCGACCTCATCTTGGAGGCTGCGGAGTGGCTCCGCGGGCTGGGGGGCGCCCCAGCTTTGGCGGTCGGCGACCTGAATTGCCAGCTGGCCTCCTCGGGGCCCGATGGGCTGCCAGCGATGGCGGAATGGCAGGATCTGCTCGCCGCAGCGGGCCCGATGCATCCCCTCGCATGGGGCCCCATCGCGCATCGACTACGTGCTGCGCAACCCCCCATGGCGCAGGACATCGCGGAGTCCGTCGGGCCCCGTCGGGGCCTCGGCCAGGCCACGCGCGCGGCGCTGCTGGTCACGATCAAGGTGGGCAGCCCCGAGCTTGCGTTGCTCCGCCAATCTGTGCCGCCCTTGGATGGGCCCCGCAGAGGGCTGGCCTCCGCGGCGTGACCGGAACGTGGCCGCGGCCACCCAGGCAGCGCACGGCGGGGCGCTCCGACAGGCGCTCGACCGGCAGGACCTCGACGGCGCGCGGGAGGTCCTCAGCCTGGCGACGCGGACCCGGCTCTCGGCTCGCCTCGGCAGGCGGGCGGTCGCGGCGCGGCCGCGCGCCACGGCCGCCCGGATGACGGAGCGCCCCGCGGCGCGCGGAGGCAGCGGCGACGCCGCCGACGCAGCTGCCGACGCGGCGCCGCCGCGACATCGGCGGCTCCGCAGCAGCCGAAGCATCGCTGGCCGCCCGCGCCACCCTCCGCGCGCATCGCACGGCAGACTCCGGCAACCCCGCGCGGGCGGCCGCGCGCGCGGAGCTGACGCCGGAGGCCGCGCCCCAGCTGACGCGCGCTGAAGCGGAGTGGCGGCGGGCCCAGGGCGCTGCAAGGAGCCGGCAGAGAGACGAGCGGCGACGCTGGGCGCAGGACGCCACGCCCAACGGCCGGAGGCGGCTGCGCCGCTGGATCTGCGGAGGCGGGACGCTGGAGGCCGAGCTCGCGCCGGCGCGCCCGCGGCAGGCCGGGGCCGCCGCCACGCCCGCGCTTTAGCCCCGCAGGGAGGCCCCGCCACGCGGCTGCGCTACTTCGAAGGCCCCGGCACGCCCCTAGCAGCCGGCGCCGGCGGCAGTCGAGAGCCAGAGACGGGGTGACAGCAGACGGGGTAACAGGAAACGGCCGGTTCGAGGCATCAAATGGCCCTTCTGTTGCAGTGCATGTGTTTTGGTTTCGCGTTCGATGCAGCACTTTCCACATGCTGGCTGCTTTGCGCATTTTCGGCTGCTGCACTGCAACTTTTTGTTTGGCCCTCTGTTGCCCGGTCTGTGGGGCTTGTTTGCAGTTTGTCCGCAACTAGTTGCCAACAGATTGCAGTGCAGTTTTTTCTTACGTTGCAGGAAAACGCAGTGCATGTTTTGTCCTGGTAGTTGCAGATTGTCCAACTGGATCCCATGGCGGGTCCGTTTCCCCGTGTAGTGCCACCCGGTTTAGCGCTCCCTGAAGAGGCACGGCGGCCGGAGATGGGCGGGCCACCGTTGTGCACAAAGGACCCCCTGAATGGGGGGCCGCGTGAACTGGCCCGTGCAGAAGATGCCGAGGCGCAGAAGTTTGGCCTCGAAGCGCGGGCGGTCTCCGAGCTCAGGCCGCTGCCAGCGGAGCTGCGCGGCAGAATCGCCCGATCGTTCAAGGCGGCGGAGGCGGCGGGCGGCGGGCCGCGGGAGCTGGCGGAAGCGAAGGGCTGCTCTTGCCGAAGCTGGGCGGCGGCGAGGGCCCGTTCGAGCGCCGGGCGATCTGGTTGTTTCCAGTCCTCTATCGCGTCTGGGCTGCTGGCCGCGCCCGAGTTTTTACCCGGTGGCGGCGCTGCTGGGCGGGGGACCCCCGGCGGCGCGGCGCCGAGGAGCTGGCCCAGGACCCGGCCCTCGAGTTGGAGGTCGGAGGAGGTCGCCTGCGCAGCCATGGGTTGGCGGACTTAAGGCGCATGACCAGATTGCAGACGCCCCCTGGCCTCCTGGCGCGCGCGGGCGCCCCGTGCCCGGCCAGCTCGGCCGGCGCCGGCAGCCCGCGGAGCGCGCCAGCGAATCCACGCCGGCAAGGTTCTCGGGACAGCCTGGGCCCCTACACGCGGCTTGCTCCCGGGCTGCCCCTTCGCCGCGGTCACCCCGGCCGTGCTCGCGCGGCCATGGGTGCGTACCACAGCGGATTCTGCCGGCGCATATATATATAGATATATATATATATATATATATGCGTGTGTGTGTTATATATATGTATGTATATATATGTGTGTATATATATATTTATATATATTCATGTGGACGGGTTCACGCCGCGGGCCAGGGTGGATACCGGTCTTGGCGGCAACGCCGCCGAGTTGCGACGCGCTGCGCTTCGCGGATGCCTCGAGGCGGCGACGCGGTGGAAGCTGAATTCAGGACAAGAGCCCGCAGGTTGTCAGCAGCCGAGCGCTGCGGCATTGGTTCGCAGAGCAATCGCTCAGACCTCGAAGCGGCGGCCGAGGCCGGAGGCGGCCGCCGCGGCGGGGTCTCCGCTGGCCGGACGCAGGGGGCGGGCGGCCCCCGGCTCGCGAGCTCGCCGCGCTCTGGACCGCCGCGCGGCGGGCGGTGCGCAGGGGCGGGCCGCGCGCGGCCGCGGAGATCGTCTTCGCACTGGCGCCCGGTTGGCAGCTGAATCCTCTCGCCGCGGTCGTCCTCGCGCCGCTATGGCAGGTGGCAAAGGCCTTCCGCCGCCAGAGGTTCCCCGCCGCCCTGCGGCGCTCGGCGGCCGGCACGATGGCTGCCGGGCACGGCCGCGGGGCGAGCCCGATTGCTGCCGCAGCCCGCAGCTTAGCGGAGCTCAGGCTTGGGGGCGACGTCGAGGCGTCGACGGGGGCGCCCGCTGCGCCGGCAGGCTGGCGCCCGGAGGACCGCCCGCGGCCAGACACCCGCGCCGCCCTGCTCGTGGCCTGCGCGCGCAGCGAGGCCCAGGTCTCGGCCGCCCGCTGCGCAGACTTCGCGCGCGCAGACTTCGCGCGCGCAGGCGGGCCACTCGGTGGCTTCGGACGGTAGCCCTAGACGCCGCCGGGGCGCCGCGCTCTGCGTTGGCCGGCAACTTGCTCACGGCGTCGGCGGCGGCGAAGCGGGGCAAACCGGAGCGGCGTCCGCGCTCCGCGGGGCTGCGCGCGAAGACCGGCAGCGCCTCTGGTTGGACTGCCCGCGGCGGGCCGCAACGAGGCGCGTGGCGCTCGTGGCCAGAAGCCTCTCTGCTGCCTTGCCGGTCCGCTCTGCACCCGTCGACTGGCCGCGCTCGCCGCTGCCGCCGGCAGAGCCAGCGCCCCCGCGCCCGCGCCCCCCGCGCCGCCCCCGCCCGCAGAGGACGCGGTCCAGCGCCAGGCCTGGACTGGCGGCGCGCGCCAGCGCGTGGCGGACTTGCCGCTGGCCCGCCCCGGCTTCTGCTTTCGAGAACGCGGGGGGGCGCGCAGACCGACCGCCGCGGCGGAGTCGACGGGGCGCAGACCGCGCAACGCGGCGAGCTCACAGCAGTCGCGCAGGCGCCGCGCGCCGCCAAGCAGCCGCTCGAGGTCGCCACAGGTCGACTCGCAGTACGTCCGGGGAGGTGTTTCGGCGCTCCGGCAGCGCACCGCGCCGCTGGAGTGGGCGCGCTCTAACTTGTGGGGGCTCATCGCGCCCCATTGCAGCTTCGGGCTCCTGGCGGCCCGGCGGGCCACGCGCCTCCTCGACGAAGATGGAGAGGCTGCGCGCGGGGCGTCCGCCGAGGACTGGGCCGGGCAACGCCGCCACAGACCAGTTGCTCGGGGAAGCGGCTTCAGGCAGCCGATGGCGGACATGGTGCATGACCGAGGGGTCGCGCCGCACACCCTCCGGACGCTGCAGGCGATGCTTGCGGAGGTCGGGTTGGCGGTGCTCAAGGCCAACCGCGGCAGCTCCGGCCAGACTCAGCCGCGCCTCAGGCGCCGGAGGGCCGCGCCGGGTCCGCGGCGCCGCGAACCCCACGATGGCGGCGACGTTGCCGCATCGGCGGCCGCCGCTGGGCGGGCGCCGCCGCCGCCGCCGCGCTCGCGGCCTGCCGCTGCGGTCCGCGCGCCTTTCGCCGGCCGCGCCTGGCGAGCGCACGTTTCCTCGCAGGGGCCTGGGCGGGTGGCTTGTATGCGCCGCGGGTGCCGGGCACCCGAATGGGAGCTCCTCGCCAGCCGCCTCTGCAGAGGATAAGCGCCGGCGCTGCCGCCGCGGGCCGCGAGCCTGCTGCTGCTCTTGGCAGCGCGCGCGGGCTGCGCGTCGGCGGCTTGGCGGGCCGCCCTCCAGGCCCGCTTGGGCGCCCGCCCACGTGCACCAGATTGATTAGGTCCGGCCCTCCCTCGCCGCCCCCCCGCGTTCCTCCCCCTCCCGTTCTTCTCGCTACTCTGCCACAGGGCTTCACTGGATTGTTAAAAAATTACTATCAGTATTCGTCCTCGCCCATTGACCTGGGATCTCGTCTGGCGCACCGATGTTGGACAGGATATCGCGCATTCCTGTAGGCTTCTTTGCCTTGCGTATCTTGTTGTTGCTGATGGCTCCCATTTGGATCGAGATTGCCGGGCTGGCGAACAATCCAGGGTGTGAGCGTGCTGGTTGCTTGGCGACGCTGTCGGAGCTTCCTCGCCGATTCGAGCAGCGGGCGTACCCGTGGGGCCTACAATATTTGGCCCAGCCTTCGCCGACGCAACAGCGCCAGGCCCCTCCGCCGCAATTGCCCTGTCGCGGGGGCGGCGCGGGATATGTTGACCTTTGCCCGAGGCGCGGTCTAGAGGTGCGATTTGTCCGCGCCGTTTTCGCTGCGACTTCGCAGCGACTGGTCTCGACGATAACGAGCCGAAGGATTCGTCGGAAATGATTGCGCAGAGGGGTTCTTGCGAACGCTGAAGACGAATGTGCGTGGCGCACAGGCGAGAGCCGCATTGCGAAAATCCCCGAAGTTGTTGCAAAGTTGAGTCCAAAGCCTCAGGATCACAAGTGGTAAAGAGGTATCAGGCGAAGCGCCCGGCCCTCCCCAACCCCTACCGACGCGCCACGGGGTGCGAGAGTTGGACGAAGAGGAGAGGAGGAGGAGGAGGAGGAGGAGGAGGAGGAGGAGGAGGAGGAGGAGGAGGGAGGAGGGAGGAGGAGGGAGGAGGAGGAGGAGGAGGGAGGAGGAGGAGGAGGAGGAGGAGAGAGGAGGAGGAGGAGGAGGAGGAGGAGGGAGGAGGAGGAGGGAGGGAGGAAGAGGGGGAGGAGGCACAGCAAGAGGAGCGTCGTCGGCGAACGCGGGGGGCAGCGCGTCCCGAGAAAGCAAAAGCACGCTCGGCTTCCAGGGTTGCCCGACGCTGAGCTGCGCGGGGCCCGGGCCCCTCGGCACGGGCGGGGGCGGGGAGATGGGCGAGGTGTGGGGAGACAGCCTCGGGACGGGCGGGGGCGAAGGGAAGGGCCTCGGGACCAGGAAAGGGGGCGGGGGGATGGGCGGGAAGGGTGGGCGGGGGGAGGCGGGAGCTGGAGGGAGGGGGCAGGAGGTGAGGGAGAGAGTGGCGGCAGGGAGGGAGGGAGGGGCGGCAAGGGAGCGAGGGGTGACGGAGGGAGGGAGGGCTCGAGGGGCGAAGGAGGGAAGGGGGGCAGTGGGCAGGGGCGCGAGCAAGACCGTCCGCGAGTCGGTTCGGTCGGCTGCGTTGCAGTCTGCTGCTTTCGGTCAGCTCGGTTAGGTCGGGTGTTGTGTCGCTGCGCCCTGCTTGACTGTTGCGGTGTCGGTCACTTCTGGTTTCGCTGTTGGTTCGGTTTGTTCTCGGTTTTGCCGTCGCCGCCCTCGACTCGCCCACGATCCTTGCCGGTCGCCACCAGTGTCCCCTGTCCGGGTCCCGCCTCCCCCCCTTCCCCTTTTACCCTCCCTGTCCTTGTCCCCTTATCTTCCCATCGGCCCAGTCCCACTGCCCCTTCTCCCCGCGCCCCCCCCAGCAGCATCCTGCTTTCGCCCCGCCTTTTTTGCCCCGCCTGCTCGCTTCCTTCTCCCGCGGAGGTCCCCGCTGGCTCCCGGAGGCCCCCCTGGGCCAAACTTGAGCAAATTGATAACCGACGACGACGACGACGACGACGACGACGACGACAACGACGACGACGACGACAACGACGTTGATTCCCCCCCCCGCTTGTTCGGCCGAGGTTTGGAGACGCTGGACAGCGAAAAATTGGCCAGGGCCGTGGACAAGGCGTGGCTCGCAAACGGCTCCGAGAGGAGACTGCGCGTCATGGTCCAGGCCCGGGCCGCGGCCGCGACCTGTGGGGTCCATCATCATCATCATCATCATCATCATCATCATCATCATCATCATCATCATCATCATCATCAGCATCAGCATCAGCATCAGCATCAGCATCAGCATCATCATCATCATCATCACCACCATCATCATCATCATCATCATCATCAGCAGGCTCAAGATGGTCCTTGCGGAGCGAGCAACCCAAGAGCCCTCAGGGATACCTTGAGACCGAGGCCAGCAGTCAGTCGGGCGTCGGGCGCACGCGCGCGGCGCCAAATCTCGATGGTGCGAGGAGGCACCGGGGCAAAATATTTTGCCTCGCCATGTCACCAACCAATGCGCATCATCCCTCCCCTTGCTCTTGAACATCAGCAAATTGAAGTATCGGGCATGATGCGCAGAGCCATGCCGAGTACAGTGTGCTCTTCCAGTCGGCACCTGCCTGCATGCGTGCACCGGTGCGTCGGGACATCCGAGGGACATCCACGTAGAGACGCAAAGGTGCAGACGCCCCTGGCAACACATCACACCATGCTCACTGATGACGCCCACACATTCCAGGCGGTGTGACCTCCTGTTGGCATCGCTCAGTCGTGGTCACCTTTGGGGGGCGAGGAACATCCTCGAGGAACATCCTGGATCATCTTGTGAGAATGCACGTACGACATCGAAAAGTGCGCGGGGAATGGACGTCCGAGCGATGTCAAGTGATTCGGGGTAACAATGGAAGGGGATGGGCACAGGGGGACCCCCCCCCATCGCCCAATAGATCGCCCATAAGGGGCCCGATGGCCCCAACCTGCCCAGGAGCGTGCGGCTTCACGGTCGGGGGCCTGCCGCCGATCGATCAGCGATGCACCGCCGACTCCGGGCCGACGTGCCCCCCCCCGGTGTGCTGGCCCCCCCCCTGCCGTTGCCCCTCGAGCGATGACGCCCATTCCGAGTTTCTCAAGAGGCGTCGGGGGGGCGTCACCCCCGCCGACAGCCCCACAGCGACCCCCGGCGCGGGCAGCCACCGCGCGCCGAAGGCGCTCCGACCCCCGTCGCGGCGCGACGACGAGGCGAGGTTGACCCCCGTCGGGGGAGTACCCCCCCCACGCTTATCAAGAAACCCTGCAGTGGAGACCCACGCCAGGAAACACCCTGCTTGCCTCCAGGGTGCCCTGGGTTTCTTGGTTTTCGATGGTTTTGCCATGGGAAGCGTGACGTTCCCACACCAAAAATCAAGGGACGTCCTGGGGTCTCAGGATTGGGTTTCTTGTGGAAGGTTTCTTGTGGTCGGGCTCCTACTGTACCCCCCCCCCAACCCGAAACGCGGGTCTTCGGGTTGGGTCGGGGTGGTCGTCAGCCCAGGGCCTGCGGAGTCGGCTCCGCCGGCCTTCGCGGCCTGGGCCTCCTCGGCCGCGAAACGAAACCCACGGATGCGGGGCGGCGGTGCGCAGAGGCCCCGCGCGGAGCGCATCGATGGGATCGTTGTACACATTCCAGGCCGCGTGGCCTCCTGCCAGAGGCGGCGGTGATGCCCCCTGCGCACCGCTGGGGGGCACCGAGCCACCGCATACCGTTTTGCTTCGGGGGAGAGGAGGAGGAGGAGAAGGAGGAGGAGGAGGAGGAGGAGGAGGAGGAGGAGGAGGAGGAGGAGGAGACACACTCCAGGCGGCGGCGTGGCCTCCTGCCAGAGCGGCGGGGGTGCCCACCGAGCCACCGCAGGGGGGCACCCCGAGCCACCGCGCACGCCGTTCTGCCTGCGCTTCGGGGGTGCGAGGGCCCCGGGGAGCTGCCGGCTCGAGGCCGGCGTCTGCCGTGCGGGCGTGCCCCCACGCCCAGAGGCGGCACGTGCGAGGCGTCATGGCGCTCACATCGCAGAGCGGATGTCGTTCGGAAAACGACCTGAGGGGGACAAAAAGTGGCATAAACATAAAAACTCTGAGGTACGTGCGGATTTCTCGGATCGGCGCTGGGGCTGGGCCCCCCCGGCGGCGCCTCAGGTGCCGCCCCTGGCGCGCTCCGCGCGCCAGGGAGGGGGGTAAGCGCCGATCCGAGAAATCCGCGCGGACTTCCGAGTTTTTATGTTTATGCCACTTTTTGTTCCCCTACGCCAGAACGGACCCAGAGTGTCCTGGGGAATCTCGTTCCCGTTTTCGAGGTGAATGTCGTGCGGGCTTGTTTTTGGGTCAGGAGAAAGGATTAACCAAAATCCTCGCGAAATTCACGTCGTTTTTCACTCGCTTGTTTCGGAGTTTTGCAGGGACAGAGATCCATGCAAAAATCCGTGCGGGCGTGCCCCCACGCCTGGAGTCGGCACGATCGGAGTGGGTGCGATGAAGTCGGGCGCGTCCCTCGACAGAAGGATTATTCAAAAATAATCAAAAAATGGTCGCGTAACAAGATTTCCAGTAGTTTTGAATATTTTGGGGTATTTATCATTTTTCGTCCCAAATCCGCCTGTAGGGGGACATGCCCGACCTAAGGGTACGACCTGGGGTCGGCACGATCGAAGTGGATGCGATTAATTCGGGCGCGTCCCTCTACAGGAGGACTATTCAAAAGTAGTCCTAAAATAGTCGGGGGACGATTTTATAAAGTATTGTTTGGTATGTTTGGAATATGTTTGAGCGTTTTGCATTTTTCATCCAAAATCCGCCTGCAGGGGGACACTCCCGACCTGAGCCTGGAGCCGGCACGATCGGAATGGGTACGATCGCAACGGCGGTCGAAAAATGGGCACAAAGACCGACAGCAGTTCTTGTTCGTTTTTGAGCAGGACTCGCTGTCGGTGTCGCCACTGATTGCACTTACGTGAGACAACGAGCCGTCTGCCCAACAGCGGCCACTGTTACTTCTGAACAACAGTTGCGTATTCATTCCGGGCGTCCAAGCTGGAGAAGCTGGCCACACTGCTTGAGGTCGCTATCGGTGCAGCTCGAGGGATGTACGGCATGGCAGGGTCTCGTCAACATTTCCTCCTTCTGCTTCTGATCTCCTCCGCGTCCCCCGTCCAGGAGGCCTAGGGGCGGAGGACGGGAGCAGGAAGACGCGGGGCGAGGATGGGCTGGAGAGCGGTCCCAGATGTCACTGCGAGTTGCACGAGGGCGTTTAGCATGGTGAGCGAGCGGTTCGTTTTGGAAGAGGGCGGGGAGGGAGGAGGAGGGCAGAGGAGGAGGCAGGACAGGGTGCGAGGAGGAAGAGGGTGGCGAGTAGGAGAAGGAGGAGGAGGAGGAGCAGCAGCAGCAGCAGCAGCGTGTTAGTTAGTTATATTTGCTCTTTTGGGGTTTCCTTGGGGAGCTCGTCTCGACGACTGGGTCCGTATCGAAATCCTGCCAAGAATGTGGCCTTGAAAAGGTCTCGGAGTCGAATTGTTCGAGTGGGGGGCCGTGGAAGGAAGAAGGAGGAACGGAATTGCCGGAAGAAGGTGGCAAGGGGAGGTCAATTCCAGCGGCGAGGAAACCAAGAACGGAGTGACCGAGGAGGAGGTCGTGGAGCTGTGCACCATCATCTCGACGGAGCTGGAAGGCCCATTGGTCTCACGAAATTGGGCAGAAACGAGCTGACGCCTTTGTTTTTCAGCATGGAACAATAAGCACCATGCGACAGACGACAACAATGATGCAAATTACGCAGACAATAGAAAAGGCTAAACCAAAGCCGTTGATGATAAGGATGCTGCGGTCAGTAATAGCGACGATGAGGGTGGTGACTTGGATGGTGACTACAACGAGCAGGCCCTTTTCATAGCCCATCGCAACAGCGACAAGGCCAGCCGCCATCGACAGCAGCGGCAGCAGACGGACGCGTGAGTTTAACCATACCAGAGACCGTACCGTAGCAGTAAATTCAGGAGTGGCTGTAGCATCAGTCGTAGCGGCAGCAGCGAACGTATGCATTCGCATCCGTCGCCGCATAGTTTCTCAAATGGTTTACGTACGTTGGTGGCGTTGTTATTGCAAATCTTGTGTCCATTCTGGCATCGCGTTGTTGTCGAACAGATGCGTGGCTTGACTGACGTCATGGCTAGGAATAGAGATTCACGATGCCTCAAACAACAGCATGGAGCATTGTACATTCAATTGGCATTTACACTGCCGCTGTTCTCGCGCTTCCTGCTGCAGGACACGCCTGCGGGGGGGCGGGGTAGCCAATGTCGAGCGAATGCGCTGGGGAAACCATTGGTGGTCGTTTCCTGATTCATTATTTTGCCGATCGGCGCGGGCCCTCGCCCCCACAAGCAGGTGGAGTCTCCCCCATAGGACGCACTGTTGCAAACAGTCGCGTTAAGCAGAGGTCCGGAGCCAGACCCCTCCCTCTCCCCCCCCTCTCGCCCAATGTCGAAACGCCGAACAAGGAAGCCTTGAGTTGGGGTAACTCAGGAGGGCAGAAAAACACACAGACACAAGTCATCGTCTATTCCCCGGAAAATATAGGAAAATATGTGAACATATGGGGAGTGGGGGGAAGACGAAAATATGTGAAACTATGGGGAGCCCTGGGATTTGTGTGTATTTCTTTGTGTGTCCGTGGGCCCCTGAAGAACCTTGGCTTGGGGTGACACTGGGGGGGGCCGGGCCGGCTGCAGGTCCTGGAGAGCGGGGGCCTCCTGGAGGGCCCTCCGTGGGTGTTGGCTGTCTCGACCTTCCCGGTGTGGAGGCTTCCGGAGGGCAGCTCTCATGGCTCTCACATCGCAGAGCAGATTTCGTTCGGATAACGATCGGATGGGCCCGTAGTGTCCTGGGGAATCTCGTTCCGGATTTCGAGGTGAATTTCGTGCGGATTTGTTTGGGGCTTGGAATGAAAACCAAAAAGAATCCACGCGAAATTCTTTTCGTGTTTCGCTCGCCGCTTCGGGCAAGAGGCCACGGAGGAATCCACGCAGAAATTCGCTGCAGCACGTCTGCAAGGCCGGTGAAATGACAGTTCGAGTTCCACCTCTTCGGGGCCTCTCGGGGGTGTCGGGGGCCCTCCTCGGGCGGGTCGTTGGCAGCCTGCTTGGCCATCTTATGTGGGACACGTGGGAAGCGTGGACTCCCAGCCACGCTCCCGAGACCTTCCGAAAAGTCACGCGACGCTCCCCAGGAGCGCACAGCTGCGCTCGGGAGCGCGCAGGGATTGCGGGAATCCGGGACCTGGAGACCCCAAAGAAGGTTGTCAAATTTTACACAGCGAATTCGAATTGATTCGAGATGCTTCGCGTTCACCGCCCGCCCATTCCAATTCTCGCTGGGAGGATACTCCACTCAGTGCCTCTGTCGTGCTGTCATTGCTGCTGCTGCTGCTGCTGGTGCTGGTGCTGCTGGTGCGGTTGCTGCTGCTGTGGCTGGTACTGCGGCGGTGGCGTCTGCGGCTCAAGCCTTGTTGCGCTGGCGCCAAGCGTCTGGCTGCACGCGCCCCCCCCCTTTCTCTGTTTCTCTTTCTCTCCGCTGCGCCATGCCAGACCGATCGCGCACGCCCCCCGCGGGCAGGGAGGTCAGCGCACGCAGCTGGAGCAGCGAGGCTGCGGCGGGGGGCGTGCCGGCGTCGTCGCTGGACTTGGACGCCATCTCCGTGGACGTTGGGGCTGGAGCCGACTGGGTGTCGCAGGCGGCGTCCATCTTCTCGGAGCAGCGCGTGGTGGTGCTCAGGGGCCTCCTCTCTGAGGCGGTGACCGACGCCGTGCTCGGCAGCTTGCGGGACCTGCACTCGCGCTGGGGCCTGCTGCACGACCCAGAGGGGCTGGGCAACCGCTGCCCTGGGCGCTACGACATGGGGTCGGCGTACAGCTCCCAGCTCGGGGGCGCCCAAGAGGGGGGCGAGGATCTTGGGCGTCTTGGAGGCCTCTTGGGCCGTCTTAGAGACTTCTTTGGACCGTCTTGAGGACCTCTGGGGCCGTCCTGGAGCCGTCTTGGAGGCTGTAAGGGCCATCTTGAAACGATCTTGGGGCCTCTGGGGTCGTCCAGGGCCGTCGGAAAGCCGAAAAAGGAAAGACAGAATAACCTTCAAAAGCCGTAGGAAAATCAATCATTTTGGCCTCTTCGGGCCTTCCCGGGGGACCTCAGGGAGGCCTCTTGGGGGCCTCTTGGACACGGGGGGGAGGTCATGGCGGGGACCAGGAAGTATGGCAGATGGCACGCCCCCCTCTTCTTCAGTACGCCTCCTGGCCCTGATGCGCCGCTGATGGGCCATGATGCGCCGCTGACCTGTTGCGGCCGTTCGACGTCTGAGCGTCCCTTCTTCCTCTCGGCCGCCCCCCCCCTCTTTCCTCGGCGGCCAATTCGCAAGTTTGTGCCCCTATCTAGCTTCTCGCTGGAGCGGAGTTCGCCGCCTCGCCGCTGACGAAAAATCTGTTTCGGGCCCACCCTCTTCGGGAAGCGCCCGACCAGCACCTCACGCAGCTCCCCGGATACCTGGAGGCCCTGGAGGAGTTCTCCCAGCGGGGGGGCCTGCGCCTCCTGGAGCTGCTGGGCGGCTACGCCTTCGTGGGCGGCCAGGGGACGCTGTGCCGGGCGCGGACGGACAACTGGCAGCCCATGCACTCCGACTGCTACAAGCCGTGGCACGAGGAGCTCAGAGAGGAGCCCGAGCTCGGCGGCGAGCGAGGGGGGGAAGTGAGAAGGAACGGGCCTTCTCAGAAGTCTCGGGAGTCCCCCGGCCTTTGTGAAGTTTTCGAAGCCTTCCCCGAAAGCAGGAAAAATGTCTCAGAAGGCGCGAGGGCTTCTGAGAAGTCCCGCCGCCTTCTGAGAAGGCCTTCTCCTTCTCATGTCCCCCCCTCGCTCGCCGCCAACGAGCACGTGCCGTGCCTGGACCTGATGTTCACCGTCCACCCACTGACGGGGGAGAACGGCGCGATGCGTATACTGCCGGGACAGCCCAGCGTGGACAAGGTCTACAGGCAGCAGGAGCACCCCCCGCCCAAGCTGGACGGGGAGCCCTGGCCCTCCAGGCGCAGCCAGCTGTTTCCTCTGCCTGCGGGCTGCGGCATCCTCAGGGACATCCGGGTCTGGCACGGGGGCGTGCCGAACTCCACCGGAGAGGACCGCCACCTTGCCGTGCTGCAGTTTTACTCCAGGCGGGTGCTTCGCTTGTGCCCGTTGTGGAAGGAGCAGTGCCGAACTCCTTCTCCTCATCCCCTTCCTCGTCCTTCCTCGCGCTCTCCTCCTTGTCCTCCTACTCCTCCTGCTCCTCCTCCTCCTCGCCTTACATCCCCCTCCTTTCCGAGAGGTGTCCAGAGACTTCCAGGGGCTCAGAGCGGCGCCGCCATGCGAACCCTTTATCGGGGCCTTCGGTGGAGCTACGTACGGGGCCACGAAACGTGTGAGGGGTAGGCCGAGGTGTGCCGGCGCCGCCATGCGAACCCTGCCACTGGGACCTTCGGTGGAGCTCCCTATGGGGCCACGAAACGTGTGACTGGAGTGCCGAAATATGTGGCGGAGAAGCATGCGAATTGCGCCATTGGGATCGTGGGTGCGGCTCCCTATGGGGCCACGAAACGTGCGTGAGGGGTGTGCCGAAATTGGTGAAGATGATGTTGATGATGACGGCGACCATGATGACGATGATGGTGATGATGAGTGCGATGAAGACGAATACGATGGTGACGGTGATGATGGTGACAGTAATGGTGATGTTGATGCTGATGTTGATGTTGCTGATGGTGGTGATGATGATGATGATGATGAGCATTATGACAATGGTGATGGTGATTATAATGGTGATGGTGATGGTGATGATGGTGATAGTGACGATGGTGATGTTTATGATGACGATGATGATGTTGATGATGATGAGGATGCTTCATCATCATCATCATCATCATCATCATCATCATCATCATCATCATGTTGATTATGATGATGATGATGTTGATGATGATCGTCATCATCATCATCATCATCATCATCTTCATCATCATTATTTTGGTGGCGAAGATGAAGATGATGGCGACGGTGAAGATGATGATGCTGATGGCGGTGGTGGTGATGACGGCGATGAGGATGAGGATGAGGATGGTGGCGATGATGACGATGACGACGATGGTGATGGTGGTGATGTTGACCTTGTTGATGCTGATGGTGATGCTGGTGCTGATGCTGATGTGGATGCTGCTGCGGATGATGATGATGATGATGATGATGATGATGATGATGATGTTGTTGATGATGATGATGGCGATGACGACGACGATGATGCTGATGATGATGATGATAGTGATGGTATTAATGATAATGGTGTGCAAAATGGTAATGAGTGGTCAAGGGGAGGAGGAGGAGCAGTATGAGGAGGAGGAGGAGGAGGAGGAGAGGAGTTGGGAGATGCGGGGCGCTAACCTTTGTCAAAACGAGGACCTAACACCACAGGACGGTTGGGAAATATTGTCCTCCTTCTCATCCGCCAGCTCCGCCACCTCATCCTCCATCCGTTTTTTCTGAAATGAGGATCATCTGTCTATAGAGAGGGGTAGATATTTAACTCCTCATTTTCGCATTATCAGAAGTGTCGGAAGGGTGGCTGGGCGTTTCGCTTGAGAGTTCTTCACCAGTATGGTTATGATAGTTGAACTTAATGATGCGTCGCGCATCTGCACCAGCCCATCTAGCAACGATGCGCAGGCGAGTTGCATTGATCAGGAAAGTTAGAAGCAAGTAGTGGAACAAGGAGGGGGGCTGCCAATAGACCGAGGCTGGGGATCAGCCTGACCAGGCCCAGTAGGCAACCATAAATGCCTTCGCACACCTTTCGATAGTAAGACATATCAGCAGCTCAGTTGGGTTAGATTCGGGTCCTCTTGGGGCAATGTTGGGGCCCTCTTAGGGCTCTCTCGGGGACCTGAGGAAGGGCCCTCCTGAGGCCATCTTGGAGGACATCGATCAAAGAAGGGGGGATACCCTAACAAGGCCCCCCTCTGGGGCCACCAAAGTCGCCTCTTGGGACACTCCTGGCAGCCTCTTTCGAGTAGGGGATCGACGACAGAATGGATTCATCCCAGAATTGATTTGCTCGTCGCATCTACGACAAATACATAGAATGTTTGTAGATCAACGGGGTATTCTACGTATTTCCTTCGATTCGACGGACGCATCACGTTTGGGATGAATAAAGTCTATAGTCGATCATTTCGCATGCGCCCCCCCCCCCACACCCCTTGCCCAGTACAGCGTTTCGTGGCCCCGTAGGGAGCTCCACCGAAGGTCCCAGAGTGGCGCAGTTCGCATGCGCCCCCCCCCCCGGTACAGCGTTTCGTGGCCCCAGGTGAAGCTCCGCCGAAGGTCCCAGTGGCGCAGTTCACAAGCGTGTCCCGCCCCCACCCAGCACAGCGCTTCTTCGCCCCAGAGGGAGCTCCACCGAAGGTCCCAGTGGCGCAGTTTGCATGCGCCCCCCCCCCGCCATGCAAAGCGCTTCGTAGCCCCAGAGGGCGCCCCACCGAAGGTCCCAGTGGCGCAGTTCGCATGCGCCCCACCCCCCCACACAGTACAGCGCTTCGTGGCCCCATCCGGAGCTCCACCGAAGGTCCCAGTGGCGCAGTTCGCATGCGTACCACCCGCCCAGTACAGCGCTTCGTGGCCTCGTAGGGAGCTCCACCGAAGGTCCCAGTGGCGCAGTTCGCATGCGTCCCCCCCGTCGCCCCGTATAGCGCTTCGTGGCCCCAGAGGGAGCTCCACCGAAGGTCCCACTTGCGCAGTTCGCTTGCGTCTCCCCCACCTAGTACAACGCTTCATGGCCCCACAGCGAGCTCCACCGAAAGGTCCCAGTGGCGCAGTTCGCGTGCGTCTCCCCCCACCCAGTACGGCGTTTCGTGGCCCATAGGGAGCTCCACGGAAGACGATACCCACATCTGCGGTACGCACAATTGCATATGGTTGGGTGTTTCGCCAGGCTAATTTGAATGGGCTGGTGGGCCTGCGCACACAGGGGCAATAAGTGTGATGCACCCTCGTCGTCCTTGTCAAAGAAGGATGACAAGTGACCGCGGGGCGCCCGAACATGATCCAGGTCTTGTAGCAAAGCGTAGGTTGTATGAGTTGTCCTTACATCCTGAGTCCTGAGGGTGGGTCTGTGTTTTCTCTGGACACCCCGCGCGTGAATCTCCTCGTCCTCCTCCTCCTCCTCCTCAGCCCCTCTTCTACCGCGTCCTCTGTATACTCACCATTATCATAGTCACCATTATCATCACCATCGCGCACACACAGTCATTCACACACTCACACATTTTCCCGCATCCGCAATCACGCATTCACGCATTCACTCTCTCACACACACACACACATACACACCGTTGCACCTATAGATATGTGTATATATGCAGACATACACACATGCATGCATACATACAGACAGACAGACAGACTTGCATGCAGACACATATACACACATCCATGCATACATACATACCTACACACATGCATGCATGCATGCATGCATACATACATACATACCTATGTACATACATGCATATATACATACCTACATACCTATCTACATACACACATACATGCACACATACAATCCATACTCATCTTGAACAACTCTCGAGGGGGATCCCCGTATGTGAGTGAATCGCGAGAGAGAGTCTTGAGCGGGAGCCCTCTTCCTATGGGAGTTCCACCTCCATGTTCAAATCCGAGCGGGTCATCCAGATCCTGTATTGTCCGCACGGTTGGGCTCCTCAGGCTTGAATAGTGAGGCAGTCTCGAGCAGGGGATTCTTATGTGAGTGAAACGCAAGGAAGTCTCGAGCGGGAGCCCCACACATCTGGGAGGTTCGCTCCCATGTTCAAGTCGGAGCGGATCATCCAAATCGCGTAAGTGTCTTCACGTGGGTTCTTGATGTCTGAATATTGAGATAGTCCTCGAGGGGGAGCTTCGTTTGTGAGAGAATCGCGAGGACGTCTCGAGCGGGAGCCCCTTTTCTATTTGGTGCACACTTCCATGTTCGAACCCGAGCGGGCCATCCAAAGCTTGTGCTTGTCTTCATTCGGGGCCCCTTTGTGGTTGAATATTAAGGAAGTGTCGAACAGGAGCCTCGTTTGTGAACGAGACGCGAGGAAACCTCGAGAGGGAGCCCCCCTCCCTTTGGGGTCCCCGCCCCCATACTCGAACCCGAGCGGGCCAATTCAAATCCTGTAATTGTATTCGCGTGTGGGTTCTTGGTGCTTGGGCCTTGGGAAAGTCTCGGGCGGGAGCCTCGTCTGTGATGCCTCGCGAGGAATCTAGAGCGGGAGCCCCTCCATATGTGCCCCTCCTTGTCGAAGCCGAGCGGGACGTCCAAATCCCGTAATTGTCAGTATGGCTCGGTTCTTGATGTTTGTATATACTGAAGCGTCGGCAACGTCCAGAAGAAATCACAGGAAGAGAGCTTCCGTAGTCGCAGGGAAGACCATGAGGATTATTCCCAGGTTAGTTTGGAAGATTCTCATGCGGGGTCCTACCGACAGGGTGCTCTGATTGAGAGGGCGGGGGGGGGGCGGCATTGCACCTGGTTTTCCGCAAGACGAGTTGGAGAGGGGGTGCTTTAATACAAAAGAGCAGGGATAAAACAGAGAAGAGCAGAGGAGGGGGTGTTTTAACACAAAAGAGCAGAGAATAAGGGCTGGAAAGGGGAAACGCGCTGAACAACCCATCCAGGGCTCGTGGGATTATGCGGCAGCTGCGCGAATGGATGGGGGGCTCCTTTTTCAACATAGGGTTTACGTTTCTGCGTTCCGCACACTCATTTTACACAACAGCTGCACGGATTGAGGGGGCCTACAGTCGGGGCCTTGAAGAAGGAACCCTTTTCGTTGGGGAGGGGCTTCGCGTTCCTTGACTGTTTCGCAGCTTGCGCCAGGTTTTCTGTATGTTCTCGATCGTAAATCGAAGTTTAATGTATGGAAAAAGGGCCTCGTTCTTTATTTTGGGCTCCTTAGGTCAAGGCCCCGACTGTATTTCAATCTGAGACTTTCGCGTGGGCGCCCCAATTTGGTTCAAAAGCCGCAACAGTTGTCAGGAGGGAGGGCGGGTTCGTTTCAGCTCGATGCACCATGCACATCTGCTTAAACAGTTGGGACCGATGCAAGAACAGAGGGTGGCTCCCTTTTAAAATGGTGCTCTCGCTTGGGACGCCTTTCAACTTCACCAACCAGCAGCTTGCAAGTGTAGAACGGTTGCCCTGATGGAGAGCGGTTCCTTTTCCAAACGGGTTCTCGCTTGGAACGTCCTCCAAATGTTTTGGCCAGGCGTATGAACGGATGGGGGTGGTGCCTTTTTAACACGGGGTTCTCGTTGGGCATCTCGTTGGATTTTCTGATCTTGCCGTTTCGCATTCCTTATCCTTCGCCACGCTAGGAGGACGCAAGGCAGGTTCGTTTCAGAATATGGTATTCGCCTGAATGGCAAGCTCATAGGGTGCCCCTTTGTTTCAACGCGGCTGGTCTTGCAGAGAAATGGGAAGTTTGTAGGGACTTCCACGGAGGGGACTTGTTGGAGGGTATGTTTGCAGTATCGTTGGTATGTCTTGGGTTTCTTATGGTACTTCTCCCCTGACTCGCTCGTCCAGGCTGACTCGAGCCATGTTCTTGTTCACCCTCCTCATCCTCCTCCTCCTCTGCCAACCTCCTCATCCCCCTTCCGTCCCCTCGCGCGTCTCCTCCTGCGCCCGCCTCGGAAGGAGCGTGGCAGGGGCGTGTCAGAGAGTGCCGTGCGCTCCAAGCTGTCGCCGGGGACCCAGCAGGTCGTCGCCGCCGAGATCGTGCTGCGCGAAGGCGACGAGGAGCCGCGGCTGATGGCTGAGCGGGCGTGCTGGCCAGGCACGTTTAGCTATTAGGCCCTGGAGGCCGCCCGAGGCGCGCAGCTGCAGTTTTCGCGCCATCTCCTCCTCCTCCTCCTCCTCCTCCTCCTCCTCCTCCTCCTCCTGCTTTCTCTTCCTCGTATTCCTCTCCCTCCTCAGTTTTCTTCTGCCTCATGCTTGTCATCTCTCTCTGCTGCTGCTGGTTCCTTGTCTCCTCCAGCAGCAAGAGGGCCTGTCTTGTGGCCCGGTGGAGCCGCGTAGGGGCTTTGGGGGCGGCTCTCTTGGGGACGGATTGGCGTTCGGGGGGCTTGGCTTTCGTGTGGAGGGTCTCGGTGCCGCGTGGCGGGGCCTCGGGGCCGTCTTGGGGCGGTCTTGAGCTTTCTTGGGGCCACGTTCGGGCTGTCTGGGAGGCCAGCCAGGAGCTTCTGGGACGCTTGGGAGCCATGTTTCTGTCTGGGGGCCTTTGGAGGCCTCCTGGATCTCGTAGGAGGCGTCTGGAAGCGAGCATTCGAGAAAGCAACAAACGTGAAAGATCCACATGTGTTTTTCATGGTGTAGGGTATGTGGGCTCCCTCTCGGGATCTCGTTCCATTTTCTTGGGGTCTCGCGTGGCCGTTAGTCTTTTCATTGAGGCGTCTTGGGCGTGTCGGCGCACATCTCAAGTTCTTGACGCTTCGCATTTCCCCACCAGCCCGTCTAAGAACAACCACCAGGCGAGTTGCCCTGATCAGGGATGTGTAGCGTCATGCAGTCACGCTCTGGGAGCCTCTTGGAGGCATGTTGACGCCATCGTAGGGCCCTCTTTGGGCAATGTCGGACGCCTTTGTGGCCCTCTTGGGGCTCTCCCGGGGCCCTCTCTGAGGTCTTGAGGGGCCTCTTGGGGGTCCTCGTGGAGGCCATCGATCAAATAATAGGGGCCATCCAATTGTACTCTTCACCCCGAAGGTCGAAAAATTGACTTGGGCCCCCTTGGCCCTCATTCAGCGCTCGTGGTGCCGTCTTGGGCCCCTCTTGGGCCCCTCTTGGGGCTCTCTTGGGCCATGTTGGAAACATCTTGAGGCCTCGGAGGGTCATTTGGAGCGCGAAGGCGAGAAGGCCAAAATTACATATTGTGTTGAAAGAATTTGCGCCTCTCGGCGGGGTCATTGGGAGGCTCCGTGTCCACTTGGAGCCGTATTGGGACGGTCATGACGCCTTTTGGAGGCATGTTGTAAGTTATCTTGAGCCATCTTGGGCGATCAGAGGGTTCCGCCTTGGCAAAGCCCCTGACACCAAGGGCCTCTAAGCAGAGATGCTGAAAGAAGGCACGGGAGAACTCAAAGAGGCACTGCTACACCTCTACAACACGATCCTGCAATCCAACGCTCCACCACCGGCCAGCTGGAAGAGCACAGCTGTCACGGTAATTCCAAAAAGTGTGAATCTCATGCTTGCTCAAAACTACCGCCCAGTATGCACGAGACCGCTGCTTTACAAGTTTTCTTCAGCAGACTACTCTACAACCGACTCCAACCATCACTCGATTCTCGACAGACAGTTGACCAAGCAGGCTTCAGACCAGGACATTAGACCACCGACCACCTATTCACATGTCACATTTCTCGAGAGCGTGCGCACGAATGGAACCAGAGCTTGTGGGTTGCAGCGCTCGGCTTTAAAAAGGATTTCGACACGGTCGAACACGAGAGCAGATGGGCAGCACTCAAGGCGCGAGGCGCCCAGCCAGGTTACATCTCTCTACTCCAGCAATTGTACGAAGGACAGGAAGCCACAGTCAAGAAGGACGTAACCAGCCGGCCCTTCAGCCTTTCACGGGGGACGAAGCAAGTGGACCCGCTCATTTCCCTTCTCTTTAACGCTCGTCTACAACACATTTTCGAACCATTGATCACCGAATGGCAAGAGAATGGCAAGGCCGTCTAGCTGGGGCTTACCACCGCCACCAAACTCACCGACCTTCGCTTCGCCGACGACGTGCTCTTGACCAGCCAGACTGTTCCGCGCCTCGCCACGATGCTCGAAGATTTCGTGCGCGCAGCGCAACCGCACGGTCTCAAGCTGCACTCTTCCAAAACCTAGATATTGAGCAACCAGACGAGACGGACCGGCAGGGCGAGCTCGCGCACGGCGCGCGTTGACGACATGGGCATAGACATCTTGCCACACGAGGGCAGCATCAAATACCTCGGTCAAGTCATCAGCTTCCACGACGCGATGGAGACAACGATCCACCACCGCACGAGAGCCGCATGGACATCATTCACTTCGCGCAAACAGGAGCTTACCAGCAAGCGCTACCCGTTGGCGCACAGGCTTCGGCTTTTCAGTAGCAAAGTAACGCCGACGGCGCTGTACGGAGCAGAGACCTGGACGCTCACGGAACCTCTCGGGCAACATTTGCGACGAACGCAGCGACGCATTCTCCGCACGATCATCAGAACCACACGGCGTGGCACTACTCACCGCACAATCTCTCACAATAACCAAAGCGGCATGGACGCCGGCACGACCAACGAAGCACCCGGCGACGATCCCAAAGCATCCGACAGCAGCGACGGCGCAGACGGCCACACAGCACAGCAAGACGCAACAGACCGGCACAGCGAGAGCAACGACGACGACGACGACAACGAGGACACGATAGAGCCCTGGGTTGAGTGCATTCAGCGAGCGACACGGCGCGCAGAGCAGGTCGTGCAGCACCACCAAATCGCAAATTGGGAGACGATTCGCAGACAGAGGTCGTGGCGCATGGCGTCGGGGGTTGCTCACCATGACTCCACCAGGTGGACGCGACGCGCACTCCACTGGCAACCAGGAGAGGATCCACGCCAACGCGGACAGCGACAGCAAGGCGGCCAGCGCAAACGTTGGGAGGACGACGTCGTCAAGTTCCTCCAACAAAGCAGCCCCGTCCAGCATCCAACGCTCACGCCGACCACAGAGGCGAACCAAACGATTCCACCTGGATCCGCGCGGCTCAAAATATCTCCATATGGTCGACACTCGAACGGCAATGCGTACACCCCACGTAACGACAGCACGCCGACATCCACATCCAGGACTTGTTCCCCTCCTCCCCTCTTCCGTTATAACGTGTTGTTACTGTTTCGCTGATCATATGCATGTTCGCTTGTAGTCCAGTCGAATATGTTTCAGGAGGCCACGGCCTGCCCAACAAGTCTTGAGTAGGTCCGGACAGCTGTCCGCAGCGGTCGTTCGCTCGTTGAGCCATATTGGGCTATATTGCGCGATCTTGGAGCCACGTTTAAGTTATCTGGGGCCATATTGTGCCCTCTTGGACGCCCTCGACCCGCGAACAGAACGTATGATAGGTTCATGGGGGTTTCACCTCTCACTCAATGGACCCGGAAACGGCAGGGCCGTTTTATTCACCGTTTCCAACAACACGTCTTGAAAATGGCAACTGCAAAAAATGGCGCCCACAAGCAGCAACAAAAACTGCTCAAGACCGGTAAAAAATCGGCGACGGAACCGGTAGACAAAAGTGGCGTCGGAGCATGTTTATATATATATACGATAATATATATATATATATATATATATATATATATATACACCAAAAAAAAACGGAACCGGAAAGAAAAAAAAGGGCATTGTCGCTTCCAGGGGCCCACTAAGCCTGTTAATTAAAACACCTCCCACCCTCCCCCCTTTTGCCCTGCCATACATCAGGAGGGAAAAAGCACACAGACACAATTGATCGTCGATCCCGAGGACAGTAAGGGAAAATATGGGGAGTGGGTGGGGGGGGGAAGAGGGAAATCCAAAAGCTATGGAACATATGGGGAGTCCTTTCATTTGTGTGTCTTTACTTGTGTGTCCTAGGGCCCCTCTTAATACCTGCCCCCCTCCTCCCCCGTCCCCCGCATCGGGCCCGCGCGCTCGCACAAGAGCCGAGCCCAAGATGTCGTCGGGGGCGAGCCGGCGCGCCGGCAAGGAGGGAGAGGAGGCGAGCGTCGCCGCCATGGGCGGTCATAGGCCGCGCAGTGGAGGGCATTGGCGCGAGTGTTGCACAGCATAGGCGTGGTAGTGGCCGCATCTTCACAAGTGTTGCATCCAGAACATGGCGTGCCACCATTGTTAGGGCACGAAGCGGTAAAACATTACCCGTGACTTAAACGACAGCCGTGACAATCCATCTCCTCCTCCTCCTCCCCCTCCATGCCGCTTCCGCATACCCTCTCTTTCCCCATACCTGCACCCCCTCTCCTTCTACTTCGCTAGGCGGGCCTGGCGTTTCGCTTGCAACCCATCCTCAAGATGTCAACCTGCAGCTTGGAAGTTCCAACGGCCGGACTGCGCGCTGCACATGTTCAATGTGTGTGGCGCTCTCATAAGCGTTGCACACATTTGCCCTGAAAGTCTGCCAACACATGGACGGGCAGCGGTCAAAGTCAACGCTTAGGTCCCCCTTGAACACCGCACACACACACACAAAATCATCTTTTGGCAAATGGTACACTTACATGGATGCAGTACGTGCCGTTTCGTGCTCAACATGTGGTTCGCGCTTTCGCTCCGCGCACCTTATTGTGAAACGTGTACAGCATTCACGGCAGGAGGGCGGGTCGTTTTCCACATGTGGTTGTCGTAGCACCGACGGTCACATTCATTTCAAAGTTGTTCAGCAATGACACGAGTGTTGCACAGGCTGTGTTCAAAATGTCGTTATCCCCGCAGCGTTTCGTCGCACAAGACTTCCATCGTTTTGCGGGTGTAGGGCGGTCGATATTCCAGTTTGGAGTGATGTTTTATGTTTTGAGCGGTAAGAGCTTAAGAGTTCCATCAGATCTACACGTGCGTGAGTGGATGGCCGTTGCCAAGATCGGTTTCTCGTTCCCGCAGTGCGCACGTGCCGTTCAGATTTCCTACTAGCTGCATTGCAGAAGGCGGGGTCCCCCTGGAGACCATGTGTGTTTTGTAACGTCTGCGGTCGAATACGGACATACGGCTGTCGATGGCCATTCCAAAACGAATAGGGCTCCCACCATGCAGGTCCACGGGACCTCCACCTCTTCATCGGGTGTTCGCCGTAGCACAAGAGATGCTTGCGCTGACATGTCAGATAGGGACTTGGCACAGGAGGTTGCCTTGCCGCATGAGTGGTGGGCGTTGGGTTATGTATGTTGTCTGGGACTTGTTGGAGCTGCTGCAGCTGTTGCCCCCTTCCTTTCCTCTGCCTCTTCTTTCAAGGGAGGAGAAACCACCCGGACCCGACAATTGACGTTTACTACACGGCATTGGGCGTTTCCTCAGCAGCCTTGCCCTGTTCGATTCCTTCTTTGTGTGCGTTTACTAAACGGCTTCGCTTGTCGGGGTGATTATTATGGGGTGGATTGTCTGCCCTCTGCACCCGCGACCCAACAGCGACCCAACAGCGACCCACCCGCGACCCATTTGCGACCCACCCGCGACCTACCCACATTGGTTTAACGAAAAATCGGCGCCTGCGGAGGAGGAGGAGGAGGAGGAGGAGGAGGAGGAGGAGGAGGAGGAGGAGGAGAGGAGGAGGAGGAGGAGGAGGAGGAGGAGGAGGAGGAGGAGGAGGAGGAGAGAGGAGGAGGAGGAGGAAGAGGGGTGGATGTTCTGCCATCTCTTCTTCTGCCCCTGATACCCAATCGCTCTTTCTCCGGACGGGACAGGGGCCGTTATTCCCCCAGGTGGGGGGTGGGACGATCTGGGGAGAAGCCGTCTGGACCACCTCCTGGGCATACGCTGAGGGAGAGGGAGGAGGACGAGGAGGGGGAGGAGGAGGACGAGGAGGAGGAGGAGGGGGAGGAGGAGGAGGAGGATAAGGAGGAGGGGAGGGAAAGGAGGAGGAGGGGAGGAGTAGAGGGAGGAGGAAGGGAAGGAGGATTAGGAGGAGGAGATGGGGAGGAGGAGGCGGAGGCGGAGGGGAGGAGGAGGGAGGTGAGGAGGCGCCCCCTGGCGACGCGACGAACGACGACGACGACGACGACCGACGACGACGACGACGACGACGAGGACGGGCCGCACGAACGGGCTACGCCACGGGCCAGCGCTCGGGGCGGTAAAGCTTAGGGGCGAGTCGGCGCCGGCACGTCTCCTTCCTCCTCCTCCTCCTCCGCCTCCTCCTCCTCCTCCTCCTACCCTACTCCTACCACTCCTACTCCTGCCTCTTTTCCACAGATCCTGGCCCACGTCTTCTCTTCTCCCCCCCCCACCTTCCCTCCATGCCATCTCCTCCTGTTTCCTCCTTGCCTCCCCCTCCTCCTCTTCATACCTCCTCCTCCATGCCTCCCCCTCCTCCTCCTCCTCCTCTCCTCCTCTTCCCTCCTCCTCCTCCTCCTCCTCCTCCTCCTCCTCTTCCATAACCTCCTCCTCATAACCTCCTCCTCCCGTAACCCCCCTCCTCCTCCTCCTCCCTCCTCCTCCTCTGCCTCCTTCCTCCTCCTCCTCCTCCTCTCCTCCAGACTCCTCCTCCTTCTTCCTCCTCCTCCTCCTCCTTCTCCTCCTCCTCCATACCTCCCTCCTCCTCCTCTCCTCCTCCTCCTCCTCCTCCTCTCCCTCCCTCCTCCTCCTCCTCCCCTCCTCCTCCTCCTCCTCCTCCTCCTCCTCGGTGGCCTGTCTGCCCGGCGCGCCCGCTCTGCCTGGCAGGTCTGCAGCTCGCCGGGCTGATGACCATAGGCTCTCGGCGGCGCGGGCGCGGGAGGGAGGAACAGAGGGAGGAGGAGGAGGAGGAGGAGGAGGAGGAATAGAGGGAGGGAGGGAGGAGGAGGAGGAGGAGGAGGAGGAATAGAGGGTGGCAGGGAGGAGGAGGAGGAGGAAGAGGAGGAGGAGGAGGAGGAGGAGGAGGAGGGAAAGGGAGGAGGAATAGAGGGAGGGAGGG